TTTGAAAATCTAACATTTAAAGTTTTTATTCTCATATAATCCTTCAAAATTCATTTTAATATGTTGATTTGTTACATTTGGTGTTGCATGACTATTTGATCAATTTAAATCATTAATTTTCCTTCAGCTTAGTCAGTTATTCATTAGTGTTTGGCACAGTGGAATGAACCACCAACTATCACAGCATGTGTTTTATGCAGCTCATGCCTTCCAGCCACAACCCTGTACTGGGAATCACTTATACACACTCACACACTATAAATTTAGTTGACTCAATTCACCAATAATACCGCACCTTTGGACTGTGGGAGAAACCAAAGGAAACCCACACACACACATGGAGAACATGCAAACATCACACAGAAATGCCAACTGGCCCAGCCAGAACTCGAACTAGCAACCTTCTTGCTGTGAGGTGACAGTGCTAACCACTGAGACACCATACTACCTTTTCATAGCACTTTAAAAGTCTTTACAATGATTTTTACTTGCATGTTTTATAAAGAGTTTGTGAAAATATACAGTAAATACACAGCTGTATTAATATGCAGGTAAATCAAACACTAAACTAAATATTAAAAATCTAAATCAATTAGTTGTTGTAGTAAAATACAATGCTTAAGTGAGAGGGGGGAAATGGTAGAAAAGGAAGAGGTTTTAATGTCTCTGAATGGAAAGTTACAAACTCAATATTCTTTATAAAATAATAATAATAATAAAAAAATTACCACTTCCTCTTTACTGCACACAGCCTGTTCAGTCAGACTGAGATTGAAAAGAACTCAGGTGAATCTGAAAGCTGTAATACAAGCTTATTTTAACATTTGCAAACATTCTATAATCTCTCCAAGCCAAAGGAACAGTTAGACCGTAACACAGTGCACCTCCTGAAGTATCAGATACACTTCTGACTCAGTGCATAGGTGCTTGTGTGTGTGTGTGTGTGTGTGTGTGTGTGTGTGTGTGTGTGCGTGCACGAAGGGAAGGTTCAAGTCTCTTCAAGTTGCAGCTTAAACATACCCAGGCATTCACTGGAACGGAAAGACTCTTTGCGCGCACACACAAACACATTTGGAAAAAAAGGTGTGTGTGTTCACCTGTAGGATATCTCTCCTATTCAAAGATCGTGTTCTTACATGACTACTGTTGCACCTGGACTGCCGGAAAACCTGCGAGATCAAAGTCTTTGAGTTCCCGTAAAGCCAGGAGTTTACACACAAACAAACAGACATGACAGATTATCCACACGCTTTTCTTACCAATAACCATTATATAAACCTAAATGTTAGCATAAAACAGATCATTCTAGTCCTTGATTATAATCATTTGAGGCAGATTACTGGCAGGTAATATGACTACAAATGTAATAGTGAGGTATACAGCACAACTGTAAGTTAGAGAACAAGCATGTCAAACTACTGGAGGTTTTTAAAAGGAACTACAATCACCCAGCAGAAAATAGACCAAATCAACTCCACATTGTGCCTAAAACTTATACTCCAAAATATGACTTATTTAAATTTAACTGAAACAACACAATTCTTACTTTTTTTTTTAGACAACTTAATTGTTTTATGTTCAATACACTTAAATTTGTAAAAACAAGCGAGTTAACTTAATCAATTTGTGTAGGGACAAAATGAAGATATTGTGTGAAAGCCAGCATTTTTTACAGTCCAACACAACTTTATGTGGGTATATTGCTTAATTGATTAATTTAATACAGCACACACACTGTACCATGTCTGCCAGCGCATCTTTAAACACTTAATGTAGCATGTAGAGAGCAATGTTTCCTCTTTCATTCATTCACTGACACACACACACATGGGAGATGTGTATTGTTTGGTGGGTTGGGTTTTAACATTCATTGTTCTTTTGTGTGGTCGAGGTGGCCTGACAGCCCCACCCCCGAATTCACACAGCCTATTGGCCGATATTCTGCTCACCTATTGGCACAGCATCTGCTCCTCTCTATTGGCTGACATGCATAATTATCTGTAATCAGAACTAAAGGCTCCCGAAGCACACATATACAAGCAAATCTAACTCATCACTTGTTCATCACCCCATTTCCTTTGAAGGCAGGTGTGAATGAAGCCTGTCCACACTTGCTGGACATTCTCCAAGTGTGCCTTAAAAAAGGAAGAATTACAAGCCAAATGTCCATTTCTAGTTCCTATTAGGGCTGCAAGATATTGAAAAATCTGATATTGCGATATAAAAAATTTCTGCAATATAAATTGCGATATAAATACAGCTTCACAAGATATTTTGAATAGCTCGGTTTTCTGGGGACTCTGGTACAGCAATTTAATAATTACAATGCAAAAAAATACATTGTTTTGTCTTTTGTCCAAATATCAAAAACTTTTTAGATCAAGTAAAAATATTGTTTTGTTTTCACCGACAGAAGAAAAATTACGAATTTAAATTAAGAGTTTTTCCTTAAAACAAGCTAAATTATCTGCCAATGTGAAAAAGTGAAATCGTCTTGTTTTTTCTTTGAAATGTAGACATTTGGATTAGAAACAGGAAGAAAAAATTCTAAGTAAGACTTTTTTTTTTTTTTGCATAAATCATATAAATTCCATATAAATACAGTGATTGAATACAATTCTATAGCTCCTGCTCAACTATAATTCTATAATTATCTATAACAATTCTGAGATGTGCAATATCAATGCTGAAACGATATATTGTGCAGCCCTGGTTATTGTAGCACAGGAAAGGAATTGCCAAACCACAACTAAGACAATAGAATGTGGTTTCTGAATGTTGTTTGAGAGTAAAAACAATTTTATATATAATTTAACCCCCTTTTACAGATTTTGAAAATGTCCAACTTAGATTTTTTTTTATACACACTGTGGTTACCTTATATTGATGCTCAGTTTGTTGTTTTTAAATTACATTGCATCTACATGCAACCTAATTATCATTAGAATACAAGTAGACTGTTAGGTTGGGTTAGGGTTAGTGTAAGTTGACAAGTACTTAGTTGCAAAGTTTCTTGTAGTCAGTTAAATGTCTGTTGAAGGAGCAGTATAAACAGACAGACTACTAATACTCAAATGGACCATCAAAATAAAGTGCTACCCGTAATTCCACATAGCTGTATGCATTTGTTTATTTATTTTTGGACCCAGTTGTGTATGGACTCAAACTTTTTTATTTGGTTAAATCAACTGTTATGTTATAATCGTTTACCATGACAGGAATATATCATTAAGTACTTCCTAAAGTGATTAAATACCAAAAAGTGATGTGGACAAGTGCATAATATTTCATAAATAAAAATGTTAAAAGTTTTTGTTTTTTAAATAACTAATAAAATGTCTTAAGTCAGCAAATATTTCCTTCTGTAAAGATCCTAATTACTATTGTAAACTTGCACAACATCAAGCTCAATGTTACAACTGTTTTCATTTTTTTGATGATGTAAATACAATCAACTACCTACACTTACTGGCCACTTTATTAGGTACACCTTACTAACACCGGGTTGGACCCTCTTTTGCCTTCAGAACTGCCTTAATCCTTCATGGCATAGATTCAGCAAGGTACTGGAAATATTCCTCAAAGATTTTGGTCAATATTGACATGATAGCATCACACAGTTGCTGCAGATCCATGATGAGAATCAAACGTTCCACCACATCCTGAAAGTTCTCTATTAAAATCTTATGACTGTGGAGGCCATTTGAGTACAGTGAACTCATTGTCATTTTCAAGAAACCAGTCTGTGATGATTCGCACTATGACAATGGCACGTTAACCTGCTGGAAGTAGTCATCAGAAGATGTGTACACTGTGGTCATAAAAAATGGAAATGGTCAACAACAATACTCAGGTAGGCTGTGGTGTTGACATGATGCTGAATTCGCACTAATGGGCGCCAAGTGTGACAAGGAAATATCCCTCACACCATTACTCCACCAGCCCGAACCATGCTTTTCATTTTCAGACCCTACCATCTGAATGTCACAGCAGAAATCGAGATTCATCAGAACAGGCAACATTTTTCAATCTTCTATTGTCCAGTCTTGGTGAGTCTGTGTGAATTGTAGCTTCAGTTTCCTGTTCAGAGCTGACAGGAGTAGCACCTGGTGTGGTCTTCTGCTGCCGTAGAAGACCTGAAGTTTGGATGTGTTGTGTGTTCAGAGATGCTCTTCTGCATAACTCGCTAACAAGTGGTTGATTGAATTACTGTTGCCTTTCTATCGGCTAGAAGCAGTCTGCCTATTCTCCTCTGACATCAACAAGGCATTTGCGCCCACAGAACTGCTGCTCACTGGATGTTTTCTCTATTTCAGGCTATTCTCTGTAAACCCTAAGGATAGTTGTGTGTGAAAATCCCAGTAGATCAGCAGTTTCTGAAATACACCAGCCCGTCTGGCACCAACAACCATGCCATGTTCAAAGTCACTTAAATCACCTTTCTTCCCCACTCTGGTGCTCGGTTTGAACTGCAGCAGATTATCTTGACCATGTCTACATGCCTAAATGCATCGAGTTGCTGCCACGTGATTGGCTAATTAGAAATTTACTTTAAAAAAGCAGTTAGACAGGTGTACCTAATAAAGTGGCCGGTGAGTATATAAAGTCACAGTATTGTTTGACTACAGCGCCTCCATGTGGTGCAATAGAATCATGAAATATGCAGTGAAGTGTTTTCCTCATTTCAATGCCACAAATTATTCAATGTGACAAAGCAATATACACATTCAAATAACACCCTTTATACTATTTGAAATTAGAATCATTTTAAAAATGCTGAATTCATTCTTTTTTATATAAAAATACAGCTGAACATCATCTTTTGATATCCACTTTGTTTTGCACATTGCTTCATGTAGTCAGCTTTTAGTTTTTCCTGCTCTATACAATAAGCATTACATCACATCCGTCAGCAGTTGATAATGTGCAATTTCTCTGACTAAAGACAGACAAAACAGCTCAGGTCACGATATGATTGGTCACACAGGAGACCGTTTGCCTTTATTTCATGAGGGTTTATTGATAACATAAAATCAATGAAATGTTAAACCTTTTTTTTTTAGTAGCACCGTTATATTCAGCTTTTAACTGAGTATCGCTTACATAGCCAATGACTGGCACCATGTTTTAAACCTGAAGTAGGAAATCAATGAAATGACATTTCGTTCTCCAAACCACTGATATAAGTATAGTGAACCATTCCTTTAACTAGCACACACATTAAAACCTACAAGCAGTTAAAGATACAGTGAAATAAACAGAAGCTAATTATATTTTTGATTGTAATATTGTTATGCTTTGCAGTTAGTGAGCATACAAACAATAAATAAGTGAAAAATAGCTGAATACATATAAAACATTGCTTCATCAAGTACAAGGAGTCTTTGCTTTTCTTTATCAAGCGCTGAGTTAATAGAGGTTCATAAACTTCATAAGGCCAAATTCATCTTTTTTTTTCAGTAATAGATTTCATAGGTCAAGCCGAAAAAAAGTTATTATCTTTCAAACTTGTAGCATAAAGTGAATGTTACTTGTGTAGTTTACAGATTTCACTCTTAATCTATTACACATCATGTGAAATGTGAAAGACAAAATTCGCTTATTGCTTACTTGAATTAAGTAAATCTGTGCTATGCAGTGCATCTTCACAGTGAGTCAAGAGATCCTTCTACTGATGTGAAATGTTATGTTTTTGTCATTTATACTCAGTCGGGTATAGAGGTGGACTGGTTCCTCATCCCACTGACCCACAGATGAGAGCGAAATCCTGGGATCAGAGCTGGGCAGAGAGGAAGACATGGTTTATGCATCATCACCGCCACACAGCAGCAGCAGGGTTTTACGGTAGTCTCCTGAAGTGTCACTCTGCAGGAACACGAAGAGCAGAGACTGAGCAGAGTGATCCAAAAAATGGCAAATTAGTGTTTATGTATTGTCTGTGTATGAGGATACCTGAATCATTTTGTGCAGGGAGGTTGCAAAACGCTTGCGGAATTCAGCACGAATGTCCAGCAAGTCCACCTCGCTGCGTGTCACCATGATCCTGATCAGTGTCTGATCGTCAGTGCCTGCCCCCTACAGGATGAAGATACAATTACTGCATGAAATACCCAAAAGATCATTTTTGTAGCTTTTTAAAATAACCACTTTAAGTATGAGCTAAAATGTGCTGTTTTTGTCTTTGTTGCTTTAAATATGATAGTGATATTAAGAAATAATAAATTCAAGTTATTAAATATAACATTTAAAGTATATTTTCTTTGAAATGGTTTTCAAAAATACCCCCCTCACAGACCTCTCTTTTAAATAAACATTTTGTAGTATGCTAGAAAATGTATACTTTACAAAACAATATACACAATTTTACAAAATAGCTTTTTGAAATGCTATTGTTCAAGTTTGAGCTAAAATGTGCTGGTTTTTGTGTTACAAAAATACAATTACAGTTACAAAAATAAATACAATTGAGCTGGTGCTCTTGGCCTCCTTTTCAGAGCTTCAAACCAGACAATCACAGACCAAATGGACAGAAATATGGTTTTACAGTGATTCCCCCAATGTTTACACCTTTTCTGATGTATTGCAGCCTAAAGTAACTGAATTTGCTGCGTCTTTTCTCAAAATTTGCCGTAGTTTGTCACATTTTTTGTGTTGTTGTTTTTTTTTGAAAATATACACACTTAACACTTAAACTCTTCATTAATGTTTGATTTTAAGCGTTTACATTTTAAACTTATAAAGTCTGCTGCATTATATTTGATACAAGACTGTAAATTTTATCGAAATAAAACTGTTAAATTTACTTCAAACAATAGCAAAAGAACCATGCTAAACTATATTGATCAAATATGATTTACGTACTGTATTTGTTCAATTAATCTGCTTTGTAGGCTTACTGATTTTGAAAGAAAACAGACCTTAAACGCATTGCAAAGTCATACAAATCCCTGGAAACGATTAACCCAGGTTACTGGCAAATTAAAAGTCCTATTAGCATGCTTCGGCATTTACCCTTTTATCTCCAAGCTCAGGGTTCTCTCTTGGGACAGCATGCTAAACCTGCTATTATAATCAAGCAATATCTAAGTGTGAACTCTTGAAATAGTAGTAATCTGTACAATATTTACATACCAACACAAAAACATAATTCCCTTGAATTTATTCGTCAGAGTTCTACACAGTAAAATTGAGCTGCTTTTTGTTCTGTATTCTCACTTCCAATCAAATAGGCCATTAAACATCATGTATAAATGTATAAAGTAGCCAAAAATAATAAAAATTCAGAGCACACTGTTCTGTCATGTTTAGTCCAGACAAAAATGAAACTAAATGTTTGGAAATAAATACTAAATCAATTCTATGTGTTGTTTGATTGTTGCCACATGAAATGATGCCACTCAAAATGTGTTTGTGTGTCTGTGATGTAGCTGTCAGAGGCTTAGGCACTGATCCAATGCACATAGCCTACTGTAGTTCAAACAGAATTTGGCTGAACTTATATTGTGATAATGTCACAGGTCACACAAAAGGACAACACCATGCCTAAAAGTGGGATTTATACGTTCACTTGGTTCAGAATTTTTTCTTCTGATTTTCATCTAGATGCTGGAACAGTTTCCTATTCCCCTTAATAAAATGGAAACACTGATTTACCTTTTCATGCCTTTACAAATATTTTGAAGCATCAGAGGTTTGGGTAAACGAATAGACTTAATTTGAAAACAGTAATTTCTTTTTTTCTATTGATCTAAATGACTTTAAGCTAAAGTTATGAATTTTATGACAGGATTTGTATTTTGGCTGAAATATCCATTTATATGAATCCTACTAAAATAAAAAGTAATAAAGAAACCTATATCATGCAGAACTTTTGATTAGTATTTTTTTTAATAAGCAGTCTTTTATTTATATAATATCTCAAGATATAATTTTCACTGAAAAAATGTTGTAAACTGGGAGATAAATATATTTTAGTTGGTTTACTCAAACAATGAAACAAACTCACCTTCATGGCAGCGTAAAGGCTGTCAGCAAAATAACCTGGTACACTGCGGGCACACTTCACTGAAAAGGAAAAAGTGTGTTAGGAAACAAAACACAAGACACATTGAATAAAACACAGCGCTGCACATGGTTGATTCTTTAAGCAACAATTTCCCTAAATAGGATTTGGATATGAAAATAAAAACAAAACTGTGTTTATAACTTACCCACAGCCAGCAGTATTTCTTGGAGGCTTCCTGAGGTCTCTCTCTGGATGCTTTCCTCAATCTCAAACCCTGACAGCTTTCTATACTCCTCAAACACTGAAGAAATACATTTAACAAAAATAACATTAGGAATAATTTATACAAATATATATACATCAAAACAACAACTGCATGTATGGGCTGAACTAACCTCTCCTGAGGTGAGCATTACTACGGTTTCCCAGTATAGTGATGAACTGGCCTTCATCAGTTCCATACTTCTGTTCTCCCGCAGCAAACAGAGCCTAAAGCAAACACAGACGCCTATTGACAAACTGATATTTCACAATATAAGCGCTAGATGGCAGCATTTTTGCCTGCAACATTCTAATCTAAATATGTTACATGAGTTTTTTTTTTCTTCTCTCAAATCATAAACTTTTTCCATTATACTTTTATTTTCGTCGTTAATGACAGTAAAATAAATAATATTTATTGTTAAAATATTATCAACTCCATGGTTTAACTGTATTATGCTGCAAATTTATTTGATTAAAAATACAGTAAAATAATTATAAATAATATTTTTAAATTATAAATACAACATTTTTTAATAGATTTTCTTTTGAATGGTTTCTAAAATGTAACTGCTTTAATTATATGAATAATATCATAGTCAAGCCAAATCTGGAGCTGATGTAACAAAAGATATGATAACAGTCCATAACATTTGTAATGTAACATTAGTACATTTTTGCTTAAATTTAAATGTCTTATATTTCAATTTCTTAGGATGTCTGATGACTAAAATATTATTTTAAGAAATATATCCATTAAATAAATCGGTTCTGTTAAAATGCACCAAAATATATGACCAATATTCACTGAGAAATGGATAAATGTAATCTTACCTGAGCATCACTTTGGATAAGGCTCTCTTGAATTCCTTGCTGTCTACTGGCCTATGGATAAATCAAATAACATCCTTTTACAAAGACAAAATATAATCTCAATAACATTTGGTAATTTTACCTTAAATAAAAAAAAATCCCTCCATTTCCATTTATTCACATACACAAATTATTGTGGACTTTTTTTTTTCTTTCTTCCATTTTACCTGTAGCAAAACAACAAGCATTCTTTCGAAATGTCCCCCGGTATCACCAGTCACATCCTCCTCCAGGTCCTTATCATGCTCTGCAATACAAACCGATCATCAACATCGAGTGAGTAACATTCGATAAACTAGCATAGATCAAGCCACAACTTAATTAAATAAATAAACATTTAAATAAATGAAATAAACAAATGTGTGGATATTCGAAATTCGATATTTACCTCGCTTGTATGAACTTTTGATCTCATTGACTTCATTAGGAGAGCGAGATGCCAAGATCTCAATCAGCACTTTCTCATCTGTGCCTGCTCCCTGTGAAAACAAAAGCAGTGCTACAGATATAATTGACTATCTATAAAACAATGACATTTCAAGTGCATTTCATTTATGAATATTAGCACTTAATGATTTACAGCACGATCATGTACCTTGATGGCATTTCTCAGACATGTGACCTCATAGATGATGGGAGGAGTCATCAGAGCAACTATAAGATCCTCAAACTTCCCTCCCAGCTCTGACTTTAAATCATTCACCAAATCCTAAACAGAAATAGAAGCATAAATGTTTTTATTATGTTATGCATTTTGTATAAATTCAATTAAAATGACTGAAGAAATCATTTAAGTCAATGTTACCTTTCCATGCAGGGTTTTGTACGCAGCTTTGATTTCTTGACGTTGGCCATTACTGCGTTTGGTGAGAAGCTGGAGAATAGAATCCTCATCCGTGCCTGGTTTAAAAAAATAAATAAATAAAATAAATTATAATAATAAAAATAAATAAATAAGCATGCACACACTCAGATTGTGTTCATTTGACAGAATAAAGTCATATACACAAAGGATGGCTCAAGGGTGAGTAAATTATGGAGTAATTTTTTATTTTGTGTGTGAACTATTGCTTTAAGAAACAAGATTTACTAATTAATGTCTGAGTACAAATGCAACCATACAAGATCCAAATTAATAAAAACAAATATTCACACATTTATTACATAAAAATATAATAATATAATTTATCTTTTTTACCATTTTTATTCTACAAGGGTCTGTTCACTATTAGGCATGGGATGAACCGTTTTCAAGATATACCGTGGTTTCGAAAAGTTTAGGTTTTAAAACTGCCAAAATTTTCTGCAATACCATTTCTTTAATGTATGCAAGATTTTTTGTTTATGTTTTTCCCTTTTTTTCTTTTAGGACAACAGTATCACCAGCAGAAAAGAGATCCAAAAATGCCATTTTAAGTTAAGAAATTTGTGTTTGGGAACCTAATGAAGAAAGCAGAAGTCAATGATTTATTTGAATTACTTTGTCTGACATGTTTACTGCTTCAAAATATTTTAAATGTTTCTTAAAATAAAATCTACTGTGTACTAAGGGGAAAAGTTTTAGTTTTTTACGCAGACATTTAAAAGAATATATTTTAGAGCAGTAATCACAAACCGTCAAACAGTGAAACTGTGATTTTTTTACCCAAGGTTATCATACCGTCAGAATTTTATACCGGCCCATGCCTATTCTCCATACCTGGATTACTGGATTTTATTATTGACAATTTGACACAATCCAAGGTAGTTTCTATGAAACTCATTCAGGTGTTGTTGTCATGGCAGCAGGTCTGCAAGTTTAAACCTGCTTGGGAACAGGTTTATTTCATATAAACATTTTGAATGTGATACTGAATGTATCAACTGCTAATATTTTAATAAGTGTACTTTATTAAATTGGGGAAAATAAAAATCTGAATTTTGGTACAAAATTGTTTTATATACACTCAAACAAAATGTACAAAAACTGTCATGGGGTGGTAGATTATTAGGGGGCTATTAACACAGTTTTTTCTGCTCAGCGTTCTTAGCGTGAAGAATGACACACATGACTATGAACTTGCACTGTTCCTACTGCAGTCTCAACGACTGGCATAAGCATTTTATTTAAACAGAAGCACATGTATTCACGGATTAAATGCAACATGATTGGCAATCATAACAAAACAAAAACAAAATTAATACAGATGAAATTAAGGAGCATATACATTAACATTCAACATCCCCACTTGCTCTCACTTTTTTTCTCACAGAGTTCTTACACTAAAAAAATATGTTAAATTTCATTAACTTAAATTTTGTTGTTGGTTTCGTCAACACATCTGCAATCATGTTGTCAGACGAACAAGCATTCAAGATTGCCCTTGTTTAACTGGGATCTCAGAAAATGGTATTTAATGTCCACATGTTTGCACCTTTGTCTGTATACAAGATTTTTGCTAATGCTATTGAACCCTGATTGTCCTCATGGACCTTAGTTTCATACTCCAATCCATCAACATGTTGTAGCAATTGTTGTAAATATAAAAGCAGCCTTTAGGTATTAATAAAATACCAATATTGAACTTTTAGATAGAAACGGGGACTTTTAAAAGATACTGCCACAGCGTTAGAATAATTTCTCAGTGCATATGATAATGCACATTAAACAATGACAGCTATTATGAGGGTAATATGATGCAGAGCAGGAGATTCAGATACTTCTCAAATATCTTTTTTTAATAATCAAAAAATGCTTTTTTGATGCGAACTTTATTGAAATGCCCTACTTATAGAAATGTATAATACCATCATGTAGAAAATTCACTCTAAATAATAAGTACTCTTAACCCAATCAAATCTGGTTATTTTCTGTCAAACTCACCAAGTCCTTTCATGGCCTTATAGAGAACCTCAGCATCGCTGTTAGCATTGAATCCACTTTGGGGCTTCACTGTTCCTCTGCCAGCCTAAAATATTAAGAAATAAACGTTAGTTTCATGTTCTCTTTTGTGTAATACACACATATTTAACATCAGGAACTTTAGTCAAACATCTATGAATCACAACCACACCCGGATTTCCTCAGCAGCCAAAGGGTCTGTCTCTTTAAGAATCTGTGCATTTAACTTCTACATGCAGTAGTTTTCCACATGGAAACTCTGAGTGACTACCACAAGACTTCAAGTCAGCATGTGTGGGAGGCCTCACAAGATTGTATACATTCAGCGTTCACGATTGTGTCCAAAAAACAGATGATATCGTCCACTCAAAATTCAGGAAGTTATGCAAGATTCCTGATCCTCAAATCACCAGTGGGTGTGACTGATGCAAAGATCTTGCAGGAATACAGTCAAGATCATGGAGATATCATGCAACCCTTAGCTGAAATCATGCACCTTTTTTATTCATTTATACATTGAAGTAAATGTGAAAGCAGACAACACTCCAATGATGCCTGTATGTGGATCGAAGGAGTAAGAAAAGACAAAAGCATGAAGAAGGCCACGCTTGTTTTTCTGATCTCAGTCCCACGGGTGACAACCACAGTGCTAACAAAAGCCTTCAACAAGGAGCGCACACACAAATGGAACGTTTACATGGCAACAATATATATTATTTAAAGAAGACATACATTTAAAAAATGCACACTTTTGTATATTTTTTAAATATACACATGACTAGTGTATTAAACAATGATTTCCCCCCCTACATTTACAAAACTTATTACAAACTTGATTAACTTAATTATTTACAAAAATTAAAAAATCCAGTATTATCATGCCAGCAGAAGGCAATGTCACTTTTAACATTGTCACTGCACACATCCAATCCACTACTGTTGTTTTTGTTGTAAAGATAGTTACAGACTGAAAACATCAGTCACCTATGCAAATGTTTGCAACATTTTTAGACTTAAATTCTTTATTTTGTATAAACGAATAGGCAAAACACATAAGAAAATAATTAAATTTAAGTAAGAAATTTAAGAAAGAAATTATCCCAATGCAGCAACTAAATGCTGTCAAGTCCTCGGGGATTGTCCAATAAGCAAGGTGAACATGTCTATCGTGTTTAAATAACCTAAATCAGCTGCTGTCTAAGACACTTTCCAATTACTACTCACAGCTTTTTTAATATGATAAACTAAATGTCATTTTGTTTTAGAAAAGACATTCATTGTTCGTCCCGAGCATGTTAATCTCTCAGCCACAGGAATGTGTTGGATAATTCAGGCCTGAATGCAATGGTTATCCAAGAATCTGCAAACATCCATTTAAAATCATACTGCAAACAGAAAAAAAATTCCTACTGACATATCATGGCAACACCTTGCACTTTAGATTGAATCTGTGCAAAACGGGCAGAATTCACTGATTCTGGAGACACGAGATGATAGATCAAATAAATATATTCTGAGCAACAACAAAAAAAGTATATTTTAAATGCCACATTACCATGTTCCTACTTTCCAACACTTCCAGAGATTTGACAATATTATTAAGTTAGTATTTATTTTAAAAACATTCAACAATATCACATGTGATTACAAGAATGAATAATAGCGAGTTTGAATTTGCAGACTGTTACTTGCCAATACAGTACTTTCCATTTCACAACCATTGTAAAAACTGATTTTTAGACCTTTACTTTATTTATTTACATTTAATTTCCCAAAGGCTCCTGTGTTTAAAAAACTAGAACACATTTTTTAAATATGTTTTTTGTGGTCACTGACAATTCAACAGATGGAGTTGGTTGAAACTACTCTGTTGCTTCCATTCATTGAAGTGAATGGTAAATCATTAAAAACTATGACAAAATAAAAGCACCAAATGTCACTGAATGTCTTTGAACAAGTTTAACAAAACAGGTCAACTCAATTACTTCCTAGTTTTTCTTTTTTGGTTTGTTTGTTTGTGTTTTGTTGCAGTACTGGCGACTGTGATCTGCCAGTTGGAGTCATTACAGCTTTTCATACATCAGTGTGCAAACATTTGTGACATATTCAAATAAATGGAAATGAGAGCCATTTTAAATTTACCTAGAGCAACGATTTTGGTTGGTTTCTAATCTACCTGGTTTAACAGATCAAAACAACTTTACATTCGAACTTTCACTGTACGGGATCTACAGTATAAAATACACATTGATAGTATGTTTTAGACTGTTCAGATTTTCCAGTATGCACATCCTTATTTGTAGTCAAGCCCATCATTTGTCTTATATTAGTCGCCACGTTGTCGGAAACTGTCCATTAATTTACTTTGACTGCGTTGTGTATGAGTGAATTAGAGGAACAGAACAGAGAGGAGAGAACTGAAGCAGACAGGAGGAACACCCTTTGGATAGTTTAGCCCACATCAATGAGTCATCGTCGTGCTCTCTTTTACAACACTTTTGATCTTCCTAAACATTTGCGCTTGTTTGTGAAAACTTACACTCGCTCTGAAATAGGCTAATTTTAGTCGATATCTTTTCCTAAAGTAAAACTCTCCTCAAATGTGTCTCTTATGGTTATACACGTTAATAAAGCGTCGTTTTGTTTTGTAGTATGCGTTTGACAGAAGTACGGACATCACTTTAACAGTTTTAGGCAGCAATGGGCGTCGACACATGAACTGTGGAATAAGTACCTTTTAGGAGGATTATTCTCAGAGAAGATTTATAAGATGCATAAATAAATGCGTTCGCAATGTTAATGCGTGTTACACAAGATGTTAGATAAACTTACCATCTTTGAGATTCGTGGACTATAGGCTACTTCAAAGAGTTCGAAGCTGAAAAAAGCGACAAAAAAAACGATACCTTAGTAACATTATAGTCGAGTTATTCATACTACACAATATACAAAGATACAACGTTGAATAAACAAAGTGTCAATAATAAAAAAATAATAATTTGAAACATTTAAATAATTTGAGTTCTCAGACAGGTAGCATATTACCTGGTTGCTTTATAGAATATGAGTAGGAAAGTTATAGTAATGGTATTTAGGCTAAATGTGTATTTTCATGCACTTACCGGGAGAAGACTTTCTAAGTTCGGATGAGCAACAGGACAAAGCGAGCAAGCAGCAGAAATGAGGAGTGAAATTCGCTAGTAGGAGGATTAAACTTGACTACGATTTGTTGAGCCACACCCTAGAAACCCCCTCGCTGTGGTTTATGGGTAGTGGTGTTTTTTCCTTTCTTTTTGATTTCAACAATTCTGTCATAAATCAAATCAGTGAACTGCTTCAGGGCACCAGGCATAAAAAATAATAAAGTGCAGATAACTTTTTAAAACAAATTTATAAACAGGAACTTGTGCCATGAGGAGAATATGGTTTGTGAAACCTTAGATGGTACCCCACCCTGTAGGTCAACAAACGGATTGAGCAGGTGCTCTTACTGTTTAATAAGGCAAAGAGAAAAACTAGCCTATTTGCAAAGCAACATATTAAGACATGTCAAACACACAAAGATGGGTGTCATGTTACATAAATCTAATGTTTTATTCAGAAAATGTCCCATTGTTAATCATTCACACTCAGATGCATACATTCTGATTAAATTTCAAGCCCAAACACAATTCCCACAGCGCTGTTATTAAACAAAAGGATGCAATGATTAAAAAGGGTGTCAGGATTAAAGCTGTTGTGACCAAACCAATTAAAACTGATTCAAAAACACACATGTAACAAGTAAAAGTAAATTTAAAAGAATAGAAATCAGTCTTTATCATTGAAAATCCTGTAAGGTTTATTGCTTGAATACACAAATGACTGTTGTTCATAATAATAATAATAATAATAATAATAATAATAATAATAATAATAATAATAATAATAATGTAGCATGTTAGCATGTTCGCCTCACAGCAAGAAGGTTGCTGGTTCGAGCCCTGGCTGGGTTAGTTGCCATTTCCGTGTGGAGTTTTCATGTTCTTCCGTGTTCGCGTGGGTTTCCCCTTGTTACTCCAGTTTCCCCCACAGTCCAAAGACATGTGGTATAGGTGAATTGGGTAAGCTAAACTGTCCGTACTGTATGAGTGTGAAAAGAGGTTTCCCAGTGATGGGCTGCAGCTGGAAGGCCATCCGCTGCATAAAACATACAGTATGCTGGATAAGTTATCGGTTCATTCTGCTATGACAACCCCAGATTAATAAAAGGACTAAGCTGAAAACAATTTAACCTACCCAATTCACCTGTATCACGTCTTTAGACTGTGGGGTAAACCAGAGCACCCGGAGGAAACTTATGCGAACACGATCTCCCTGCGTGCTCCGATGCAATGCAAACTCCACACAGAAATGCCAACTCGAATCTCGAATCAGGCTCAAATCAGTGACCTTCTTGCTGTGAGGTGATCATGTTACCCACTGCACCGCCGCATTGCTCGTGGCTTAATCATATTTTAGCAAATTTTAGATAATTTAGCTTTAGATGATTATTTAGCTGAATTAAACAATCTTTTAAACCTGATTAGACTAAACACTTCAGTGTCCTTTTGCAGGCATCAAGGTTTGATTGACATGCAAAAAAATGTTTTTGCATGAGTGTGTACTTGATCATCCTGCATTGTTAGGACTTACCTGGGGCAACAGTGGCTCAATGGTTAGCACTGTCACCTCACAGCAAGAAGGTCTCTGTGTCGAGCCCCGGCTGGTTCAGTTGGCATTTCTATGTGGAGTTTGCATGTTCTTCCTGTGTTCGTGTGGGTTTTCTTTGGGTGCTCTGGTTTCCCCCACAGTCCAAATACACACGGTATAGGTGATTTGAATAAACTATATTTTTTAATCACTTTTAAAAACGTAACTTTTCTGTTTGGCCTATTAATATTATTATAGTTTTTGATTATTGCTTTATTTTTAAATTTATATCTGTTGTTTCTCTTGTTATTATTCTTATGTTTTTATAATTTTCTCTGGGTGGTGCGGTGGTGCAGTGGGTAGTGATGTCGCCTCACAGCAAGATGGTTGCTGGTTCGAGTCTCAGTTGGGTCAGTTGCTATTGTTCTCCCGGATCGCGTGGAATTTCTCGAGGTGCTCTGGTTTTCCCCCACAGGTCCAAAGACATGGACTACAGGTAAATTAGGTTGGCTAAATTGTCCAAAGTCTATATGTGTAAATGAGTATGTATGGTGTTTCCCAGTGTTGGATTGCAGCTGGAACGGCGTCTGCTGCATATAACATATGCTGCATAAGTTGGCGGTTCATTCCACTGTAGCAACCCCTAATTAATAAAGAGACTAAGCCGAAAAGAAAATGAATATTTTATATTTCACTAAATACTAAATAAATATTTATAAATAAATAAACTTGAACTAAACATTAATTTAGTAATAATTTTAAGGTTGACTACAGGACTGACTGCCAAACCAAAGAATTTTTCTATTATTCATCCACTAATAGTCCTTAGAAACTCACATTTCTATATGTGCATTTCAGACACACGGAAATATGGGAGAAAGTAAACAAATCTTAAATATAACCAACATTTAAAACAATTGCTTAAAATGTGTCATAAATTAGCTAGACCTATTAACCAACACTAAGGTCAAAATGAGTTTTAAGAGAAATGAGCAGAGCTGAATTGAGTTATTCAGCTGTGATTTATGCAGCTTTGTTTCATTACATGCAAGTAGACAACATTTGTACTTGATAAAAATAATGCACTTTGAAATTACATTGATTTTTTGGAAGAGAGCAAGATAGTAGCTTCCAGAACCGTCCGGTGGCGGACCGAACTATTTTTGGGAAACACCAACTTTTTCCGTTTCTCTCTCTTCCGTGTTGCGATAACAATATCTGACACTCGAAATACACAAAAAAGTTCCCCTTGCGTAGTGAATATTTATGTCAGCAGTACATTAAGAGCTCTTGTATGTGAACGGACACCCCTCCGGTCTGTGTAAATGGAATATGACCGGGCGCATATATGGTCCTCGTGCTCCTCCTGTCTGGTTTGTGTTTCTCGGGCGGCGCCTTTCACATCTCTGAGGAGTGACGTTCACGACCGTCTGCAACCATGGAGTGGAAACCGATGGAAATAAACCCAGAGGTCTGAAGCTATTTCGTTACTTTTTCCTCGCTGGCCGAACTGTGTATCGTACGTGGCTTCGCTTTCTTCGTAATGACCATGTCGTTTGTGTGCGCTTGGTTTGTTTTCAGATGCTGAATAAGGTACGTTCGCTGAGTCATATGTGATGATGGAAGACTGGCTGTCTGTAGAGGACTGTGGCGTTCGTGGCTACACTGTTTTGGCCCTAAATCTAAACCGAAAGGGCGTGGACTTATACACATCGTCACCATAACACGTATCATGCATGGTTAATAAATAAAAGTGTCCGTGCATAATCCCTCTATTCAGATGTATCGCTTATCTATAGTTGTTAATAATACACAGGCGAAAATGAAATTACCCTGTTATGTTTTACTCTGAGTATATTAGACTTTTTTTTTTCTTTTTTGCATAGATAACGGTATTTAGATGTTTTGTTTTCTCCTGTATTTGTGTGTAGGTGTTGAGCAAGCTGGGTGTGGGCTCGAAATGGCGTTTTGTCGATGTTTTGGGTCTAGAAGATGAATCTTTGTCAGGAGTGCCCTCACCCTGCTGTGCCATGATGCTGCTCTTCCCTTTAACGCAACAGGTACGTACCGACGCACGCTGGCACGCACATGAGCACATCAGTTGACAAGGGCGTGGTCACTTGAAGTGATGTACTTCATTAAAGTGGTAAACCAAAGTATTTTTAAACCTTTGCTAAAATTTCATTATAGCAAATATTAAAACTGTAACTCTTATTGTGCGCTAAAAGTATTGAAAATGAGTGTCTTAACTTATTGATTTTAGTTGATCCCACAGTAAAATCTATTTAATATTAATGCATGACCTTGGATTTAAATTCTTAATAATTGCATTTTGTTATGACTTTTTTTGTTCATTGTGAACCTTAACCATACATTTAATTCCTGGTTTGTTGATCAATATTTACGAATACATCATAAAAAGTCAAAGTTGTATTGAGTAATGTTAAAATGAAAATAAATTTTCTAAATGTAGGTTCAGGAGGAGTCTAATAACATTTCATCCATGTCAATAATTATCATTGTGCACATCTAATCGGCAGCCTTTGCTTCACTGTCCTTGTGGCAGTATTTCTGTCATGCTTCCACCACCCCATCTTCTTATTCTCCTCAGTCTTTATCTTTACAGAAAGGCATTCATAGGGAAGTTCAAACCTAGAGCTCAAGCTGAGCCTTGGGTTCGAGACTCTTTAAAAAATGTGCAAGCCTTTAATGTGTTTGTTTACCATTTTAAAAAGGCTGAATGAGCCAGCAAACTTGTAAACATTTAAGTTTAAGAAAGCCTTTTTTGAATGTTAGCTAAACCCCCCCCCCCCCCCCCCCCCATGACTTACTTGAACAAGATATTTTGAAAAATGTTAGAAACCTGAAACCATTGACTTCCATGGTAGGAAAAGCAATCACCATGCAACTCGGTGGTTGCGATTTTCCAGAATTTCAAAGTAACTTGTCCAACAAATAAGAATCTTAAACTGGTTTGAGATGAGTGAAGGTTGAGTAAGGGACCATTTTCAGTTTTAAGCAAACATTCGTTTAACGAATGGGACCTTATTGTTCATTGTTGGTTTTAAATTAATTAAATTTTTTTCTTTTTAGCATGAGGATTTCCGTTCTAAACAATCTGTTGGTGACTGTAAAGATGTGTATTTTCTGAAACAAACTGTGGTCAACTCCTGTGGAACTGTGGGCTTGGTTCATGCTGTGGCCAACAACCAGGACAGTATTGATTTTGGTAAGTGGATATGTTTAAGGAACAGAGCTGATGACCTTGATTTTTGAGTGTTTATTTATTGATTGATGTGGAAAACGAAATATGGAGTACACTTGTATTGATCATAAATTAGGCTTTATTATTGTATGAACAGCATAAATCACATCAAATCTGATCTTCTGACTTTATCAGATTCAGAACAGATGTTTTTCATTGAAACTTAAGTCTGAAGTCAAAATTATTGTGAATAAGATTCACTAGTTTAAACTGAAATGTGAAAGAGACCATAAAAATAAAATGACACCCAGTTTTCTTTGTTTATAGGTTGCATTACATCTACGTTTAAGTTATTCTTAGAATATTAGTATACCATAAGGTTAGGGTTAGTGCAAGTTGAAGTACTTTGAAAAGAGAATGTCTGTTGGAGCAGTGTCGGCAGATAGCTGAGAATTAGTCGACCGTTATATCAAAATTCATCAATCAACTCCATAATTCTGTTTTTAATTAACTTAACTAACTAACTCTGACTTCAATTGCCTTGGTTTTCAAAAAAAAATTTTTTGGGGGCATGCATATGGGTCAGTTTGTGGTCGTTTACAATAGAATCTGATATTGGTCTCAAGAATCTGAGCACTACTCTAGGGATGTAAATTTTTATATATATATATATATATATTTATATTTGTAGGCAGTTTAAATTTGTGAGCGGCTGCTTATCCAACAAACAATTTTGTGTTTAATAGACAACTAAATGTAGACAGCTTGGCTACAACAAGGCTAAACTTGGGCTGTCAGTGAAAATCTAATAGACATCCAAGGATAGCCCAAAACTGTACTAGTTATCAAATAGACTGATTAGACAGACTTTGTAGTCATTCATTTCTGTTTATTTGATGACTAGTCTTGTGTTGGGCAATTCTTGGAATTGGATGTTCACTGACAGCCCAAATTTAGCCTTGTTTTAGCCAAGATGACCATGTTCAGATGTCTATTAGACATCTTTTAAAAACAAAAACCGCTTAATGGGTAATGATTCATTTTATTTTTTATTTTACTTTTTCTCCCCCCTCCCTACTGTCTGCAGATAATAATTCTGCACTAAAGAAGTTTCTAGAAGCCACCTCAGGGATGTCTCCTGCAGAACGAGCCAAAGAACTTGAACAAAATAAGGTATTTATTAATGTCAAGCCACACAAAGCATGTGATTTCCCACATTTTTTTTTCTCCTTTAACCCAGAAACTGAAATTTTAGAATTGCTGCAAAGTTCATGCGACTAAGGCCCAGTTTTAAATTGTCCTTTTTATTAAGCCACCAGTAGATGGTAATATTGTACTGCTTCACTTTGAATGGTGTTTAAAGAGAACAAATTTATTCAGGCTTGATTTTTGTGTTTTCAAATTAACTCAAGATAATGCTTTTACTCAGGCTATCCAAGAAACTCATGATGCTGTTGCTGATGAGGGTCAGTGTCGGGTAAGGCCAGACTGACATATGCACAACACTAAATAATTTCTTAAATTGTTTAGATTAAACCGTTTTCTTGTTCTCCAACTCTTATTCCAACAGCCAGAGGCAGACAAAGTCAATTTCCATTTTATTACATTTGTCAATGTAAACGGTCGCCTTTATGAGCTGGGTAAGTGGATGACATGTAGTGTATGTGCTATTGTGCCAATGACCTGCATTTTAAATGATAAACTTTCTTACATATGTGAATTTAAACCATGTGTTTTGTACCTCAGATGGTAGAATTGATGGACCTGTGAGTCATGGGCCTACAAAACCAGACAGCTTTGTCATGGTGAGCAATTTTTTTTTTTCTTTTTTTTTTTTCTTTCCTTTCTTGGTCACTGATGTTTATGGCAGCTGTTGCATGTTCTCTCTTATGAACAGCCATGCTGGTCAGAACGGTATATTTAGAGCATCTGAAAACATGGAGTCATTTTGTGAGACTGAAATAGTGAATTCATGTGTCTTTTAGGATGCGGCAAGGGTGTGCCGTGAGTTTATGGAGCGAGAGAAAGGGGAGGTGCGTTTCTCTGCTGTTGCTCTCTGCAAAGCCTGAGAGGAGCCAGACATCCGAGCTCAAACTACTGTACGAACAATTCCACAAAACCCTTCAACCACTTCTATACAGAGCACACAAACAATCCTTAACCATGCCTTGAAACATGCTACACAAACTGCCTGCCTGCCTGTCTTTCAGACTGTGAATCGCTGTCATTTTCTAATTTATTATTTATTTAATTTAAAAGTTTGTATAAATTCACCACTATTCTAATGTCTAAACTTTATTTTAGATTGATGTACCACTTCTAGTTCTAATTTCTTTGGGCACTTATTTTTTTGGAGGGGCTAATGTTTAGCAGAAATGTAATGTAAAATTTAAGCTTGAAGGTGCAAGTATGTGCAAAATAAAGACAGAAGGGTGATCTCATTTAGTGTTACTTGTCTGACTTGACTGTTTTATATGTATACACCTGGATTTAAGGGCAGACACAGGAGAATGAAATTGGCAAACCCTTATGTGAGCAAACAATTATGTAGTCCAGTACAAATAATAGGTTGGTGCTAGTTGAGCTGCTTTTAGTATTGGTAAAGTCGGACATTGCAATATTTTGGTTTTCATTGATGTATTCACCTTATTCTCAGCTGTCGAGTGGGCGCTGCCATTTGAATCTTTGTCTTGCGACTTCCGGTCTCATTCACTTCCATTCATTTTTTTTTTTTTTTTTTTTTTTTTTGACGTTAACAACTGCTCGTAACGCTGCTTGATGTTGCAATTTAATATTTTCTTATTATATTATGCTACTTGGTCTGTGTAGTCATGCAAACATTTGTTTAAGGAACAAGTAGTTTGGCCATTTTCTGCCGTTTATTATTCCTAGTCATTTCTCCCATAGGTGACTGAATCAGAAGTTCTAAGACAATCGTGAAAACAGGCGCACTTCCGCATTTTAGAATAAGGTCAATAGGGTGACATAAATAGTCTTACTAGAGCTTGAATAGCTCAATTAGGAAAATCCATAATTTATTTTTTTGGAAAGATGCAATGGAGGAGTGATTTGTGCTTAAACAAGTGAGCATTTGTTTACACTGGAGCTAAGAAAAATGAATGAGCAATAATAAAGTAATAAGTAAACTTTTGAGAATGCTCACAGTCCTTAAATGCATGCTAATGACTATATTATTGCTAACCTCTGATATGACTCCACGCATATTGTGTTTGGAACTTTCTCCAGGTCAAGATTAATTCTTAATCAATATTGGCCATCCTGTGATGTGACTATTGCTGATGCACACATTGCATTATCGGTGCTGAAAAGATATATTGTGGATCCTCAGGTACTAGATTTAAATGTTCTTGTTTTCTGACAAACTGATGGAGAACATAAAAAATTCTCAGTCTATTTAAAGTGAGTTTGATTTATATTTAATTGAATATTATAATTCGTTTTTTTCTTGGACATCTGAATGTCACTTTTACACCCTCATGACAGCTCTTGTTTATTATTTCTTAAAAAAACAAAAAGCAGCTTTGCTCATTTTAAAGTATCCATCTCTGGATATGCTTCACGAGTGCCAAATGAATTTATACTATACTGCTACAGTATATACCCAAAGCACTTTACTATGAAATGAGCAGTATTTTCCTTAAATACCACAAAAGTGCAGCATCCACTTGAAAGGCAAGCGGTGACGGTACCTCCCCACATAATGTCTATTAATGGACACGAGCAGATAATCATTCAATTGGGCTCAGGTGCAAACGACTCAGCTAAACACAATAACCAGCACCATGTATGAATATCTAGCCCACTTACCTCTTGAAAATTTTTTTTTTTTTTTTTTTTGGAGTCCCTCCTTCACCACAATCTCCTATTTTATTCCATATATATATATATATATATATATATATATATATATATATATATATATATATATATATATATATATATATACAGAAAGATAGAGTGCTCTGATAAACAGTGTCAGCTTTGCACATCAGTTTGCAGTTCTCTTTATTTACATTGTCTAATTTTCCCATGTGGGCTGTAGGGTGGAATCTGTGCAAATATGCAAATATAATGAATTTTGATAAATAAAATTATTCTTAAAAGTCACATTATTTCAAGTGCTGTGGGAAAAAGGTGTGTTTCAATCTAGCCTCTGCAAGTATATTTATGTTTAATATAATATGTGCAATATATATTATAAAATTAATGATGTTTGGAACATTTATACAGCCTTAATCTTCTTATAATACAAACACAGATGAAATAGCTCTGATCATGTAAATGTTTGTACTAACCGTACTGCACATTTTTATTAACTTAACAATAACTTATTTATGCTGCCCAGTTTGAAAGCTATTTTTCAGCTCAGCTGGATCAAAAATTTATCAAAAAGCTGTGTGTGAAATTGAAATTTTGGACACTGAACCTTTAACAGTTGTTCAATAAACAATATTTTTTTTCTTATGTTCCTGCTCTCAGCTGTTTCTACTCTTTGCTGATGGTAAAAATAAATAACTGAAGTGACCTTTAATTATCATTTTGCACTTTAAAAATGTATTTTTGTTTATTCAATTAAGATATTTTTCTGGGTCTTAATATTTTTTCTTTAATTCATTTTATAAATTCTTATGTAAAAGGTTCAAATTTATGCAACCAATAGTTAATGAACTGGTTGTTTTTTTCATACTTAGTGTTGCTGACTTGTTCTCAGTTTGATCTAGCCTTTCATACATTTGACTCAACAAAATAGGTAAAAATAAAGTATAATTAAAATGTAAATAAAAATACAAAGTCATAATTTGTTCTGATATCGGATTTATATCGGTATCGTATCGGACTGATGGCTGCAATATCGGTATCGTATCGGAAGTTAAAATGTTGTACCGGGACATCCCTTATATATATATATATAAATAATTATATACGCATGCATGCATACATACAAGAAAGAGGAGATTTTTTTTCTGGATCGGTAAAAGTATGCATTAACAAGAAAATCTTAATAGAGGCATAAACACAGTAAGGTTGTTTATTTGTTGAAATTTGTATAAAAATCAGATTTATTTGTATTGTGCATTATATTTGTAATGTTTTTGTGCATGTTAAACATGTTGAAAAGGGGGAAACCAGTAAATCATTGTATGAAAGTAATTTTCAATGGTTACGTGACCATCAGGAAGAATGCAGCATCTCATTTCTCACAGGATGCGTTCTTTGTTCTTGCGGTCTCCCGAGTTGGTTCTACTTAAGTGACCTTTCAAGACTTCACAAGATTACAGGCCTGTTCTCAGCTTTATTGGAGTTTAGAAACAGCCTTTGAAACCTACAGGTAAGTGTGTGTTGAAGCAGGGTTGGAACTAAACTGTGCAGAGTTGTGGCCCTCCAGGAGCTGTATTTGACACCTGTGTTCTAAATTATGCAATGAAAATTATGACCTTTATGATGACCTCACCTCTAAACTTGATATGACCACATCAGGTTATGCAGTGGATAAAAACACTTCCATTATGGCCACTTATCCAGGAACTCCAGGAACTATTTCTGTGGAGACTTGATTCTTTTAGCTGTTGATAGTGTTGCCATAGAAACAAACAATTCCCTGCCTGAGGGTGTGAACAGATCGTGACAAGAACATCATGTTTTGTCATCTCAGAATGACAGTAATTACGACATGCATGACCTGAATGCAGCATCAATTCACAATCCTGTAACAATTCCATGAATTGTGAGACATACGCTCAAGATCCTAACATTTCCCTCAAGCAATATCAAGTTTTATCTCTCAAAACCTCTTCTTTCTTATTACTCTCTTTCCTAATGCTTGTCATGGAAGTTACATCACAATTCTGTTTTATTTCTGAATTCAGGCTTTTTAGAAAAAAAAAAAAACAGATCAGAATAGTCAGAATTGTGTGATTATTAATTGCAATTACCTTTCAAAACAGGTTATCCTGTGGCAGAGATATGCTTTCATACTTTTCAGTTGCTTCATTGCTGACTGTCTGCCACCTTCACGGAAACAAAAGCTAAAGGAGCCAATTATATTCAGAGACACTACATTAGATGTGGCAGTGAGAGTGAGATAGGGAATAAGATTGGCAGTTAAACATTGGTAACACAACCAGATCATCAGAGAAAAACAAAATCACCTTGATTTACAAGATCTAATGCTTGTATTGTTTTTTTTTTTTTTGTCAATGGCTTATGTGCAGGCCTGGTGATTGCTTGATAATAATGTCCCATTGCTATTCCAGCTGTGATCGGAAGGCCTGTGTAGTACCCAAAATAGCACCGCCACCAGTTTATGCTTCTGCTCATTCCTCAGTTTAGGGTAAGGTTTGGATTAGGTGTGGGGTACGGTGGTGATTAGGACTAGGCAATCAGTTGGTTCAATCATCAAGGGGGTGAATAATTTTGCAGTGGTCCACTTTTACTGAACAATACTTTTGTTCTGATGATGTGCTACCTCCTTAGGATGTACTACCCGTACCTCATCTGTCATGGGTTAGTGCATCCTGTCGGCTTCAAATGTCTATCAGAATGAACTACCTTCAGTGCTTAATTTGCAAATGAATAACTCCTGGAACAAAACCAGGTAATTAAAGTTATTGTGACATACGTCCAACAAAATTTCAGTTTTTCTAGAACATGACATCATTAAACGGTGATATCGCAAAACAAAGAGCATCACATTTCTGAACGGTCTTGATTATTTTGTTCCATTTATTGTTATAGGCCAGACATGGATAATAAAAACATATAGCTACAAACATAAATTGTATGAGCAATCACTGTTTATTTCAGTTCACTATTATGTTCAGTTCACTGTTTAGTTCAGTTCACTATAAATAGCCTTATTAAATAACTCGCTCTGTCTAATCTTCAAGCTCTTTATATCATTCTGGCTGATTTGAGGTTGCTTTGCTTCTGTCTCCCACTATCCTGATCCTGGGGTGCAGTTTCATCTTCTCAAGCTCTCTTTTGACCAGGCTATGCCATTATTTATTTTCTGCTGCTCACTGCGTACGAAACAATCACCAACCAATGAGAGTGATTGTAAATGTAAGAAAGCTGAATGGTGGAAAATATTTTTGAGGGCCAATAGTTAAATGTGACTTTTGCTTTAATTTGCGGATGGTGACTTCACGCACAAACAATCCACACAGGCTTCGCTTGCACTTATTCACATTCTCTCTCACACACACAGGTATTTACCACGCACAAGTTAATGCCAGATCCATTAAAAAAAGTACCGAAATGCAAAACATTGATATCTGATAAGGCATGGGACGATAATCTTTTTCAATGTATACCGCGGTTTGGTAAACTCAGTGTTTTAATACCGCCAAAATTTTCTGTAATACCATCCCTACGGTATGTCTAAGACTTTTTATTTACATTTTTTTTGTTGTAGTTTTTT